ATGCAAATACTCTATATAGTAGATGTCTTAGTGTACAGTGCTCTCTCATGCAGATAATGTTCTCCACCCATTGAGTGAGGCAGCTATTCTTAATGAATACAGTTGCAATACTGGTAGTTAGTGCAGTTTGAAGTTTCAAGGTTTGTGATATGACCCTTCACCAGATTCTCCACATGAAACAAAGAGCCTGCACATGTTAATTTTCTAAAAATGTCCACAATTCACAGCCATAGAGAAGTGTAGGAATGACCAGTACATTGTCCACATGTAACCAAGTTCCTTAGACAGTTTTTCATCAATTGGTCAGGTTCTTCTGCCACACTATGGCTCATTTTCTGTTTGCATCAGTATGAACAAAAGCTGGGGAAAGTTCATTTTATGTTCAACAAAAAAATGAAAGTGAAATGTTGCTACAGCAAGAAAAGAAAACATGAATCCTGTTTTTTTTTTATATATTCTATCACCCACTGACATTCTGTATATTTTGAAGGACAACTTGTGACCTACTCCTGTCTAGAATGCAGCCTATCTCTCCAATGCCTTTTCAAATAAGGAACATTTTTATTTGATAAGTATACATTTAAAAGCTACTTTTTAAAAATGAGAAGTTTTTAATGCATAGAAATAAATTAAATAGTAAATGTCAATATGATGCAAATGTAAAAGGTCTCTTGACTTTGTAATTCTGAAACATTATCTTTCAAATTGTTTTACCCACAATTTAATTCATTCTTTACTAATTTTGTTGTTTCAACATTTCATCCGATTAATTTTCTTGCCTTCTTCAGTTGTATTATTTGTACAGAAAGAGAGGCCCTCTTTTCCAGTGGTACAAAATAACCTCAAACAGTGATGTGGAGACAAAGAATAGTTGATATAAAAAAGGAAGATGGAAAACAAATAAAAGAAGTTAGACTGATATAAGAAGAATGAAGAAAAACAGAAATTAGCAAAGGAAAACGATGAAATAAATTTAAAAAATCTAATTTAACTTAAAATTTTATCACAAATTCAGTCAATTTTTATGTCACAAGTAAATTATAATGAGAACAATAACTCCTATCAAAAACTGACAAAGATGATGATATCAAGAAAAAATTAGAGACTTATAAAGACCAATTACTAATTTCAGCCCTCTCTTTTATATGTTTGAATATGATACACAGCGTCTGTCTATATTTCTGAGATGAGGTATTGTAATTATTTACAGACACATGGGCCAGTGGATAAAAGTGTTGGTTGGATCCAGTGACTTGACCCAAAGAGTTGTGAGTTATTGGTGAACAAAAACTTGGAGAGTTGAGTTAAAGGGATATAACTGAGACATCTGGAAGAGGTATGGCATGTGGAACTAGAATGAAATAAAAAGTTCAGTTCAAAATTCAATCACCAGAAGAAGGCTGGAGCATACAATGGCTGAAACGTCATGAATATGGCAATAAAGATGAGGACAACAGTCCAAATAATGTAAATAAAACACACAGCATTCAACAATTATGAATACAATATTGTACTGAAAAGAATGTATGGATTTGAACAAAATTTGGTAGCATTTTTAAAGCAAATTCCAACAATAATATTTATATATTTGTACTTAGATTTATTCAGTCATGAATTTTGTTTCAGTTTAAGCTTGTAATGAAATTTTATTCAAAGCATTTCAACACTTTTTATGGTAGAGTAGTTTGAAGAGGAGGCGACTATGGTTGTCTTCATCACATTCTCTCATACTTAAGTTTATTCAGTTAAAGATGACTATCATCAAAATGACTGGACATTTTTCAAATCTATTTGGAACATTGGACTGGTTCCTGGACAAAGAAATTTTGATCATGCAGGAGATGATACTTGGAAGTATCAGGTCCAAACTTTTCATCTCCTACTTGGAATAGGACATTCAGTATTCTAACTTTTGTTGAGCTGATCTGGTATATCATTCCATTCTATTATTTGGGCTCTAAGGAGGGGAGCCTTTTTGCAGGTTTGATACTCCTCCAGCAGGTGCCTAATCTTTGAGTGAGACAGTGGAGTATTGAATTAGAGCATAGTATGGGTTTTGGAGTGTTTTTTAAAAAAAAAAAAAAAAAAAAAAGATAAAAAGAGCCAGATTGTGAGAGCCATGATAGAAGAGAGGTCCTAAGTATAACTTTGTCTCAGGAATTTAAAAAATCTCTCATGTGGCATCACATTTGTGCTTGTGTCCAATAGAGTTCTGATAGCATACAAGGCTTTAGGCAGCAGTTCTTCCTAAGGGTGTTTGTGGTCTGCATCAGCTTGTTGCACAGTCTTCTATATAATCCTCATTTCCCTGGGGATTGTACTGTGTGGTGCAATTCACAGCTAAAGTTAAATTAGATTTTTCCTCTCAATTAAGAATTGTTTCAACTGTTTTGACATAAAATCTGTTCCCCAATCAGGGTGGATGTACATTGGTACCCGGAATATTGAGAATAAGGTGCAGAGACATTGTATGACAGGACAGGGAAAAGCAAATAGGAACCTAGAGTATTTGTCATGCATCATTAGAAAATATCTATTTCCAGTTTTACTTGGTAACAACCCCTTGAAATCTAAGTCAAACATTTCAAAGAGTTGTGTGGCCTTAACAATAGTTCCTGGTTTGATGAACAAGCATGTCTGACAGATATTCTCAATCCTCTTGAAATCTTTGATGAAGATTTTGACTATGGACCACATGTAGCATTCTATTAATCCCTAGGTGACATATCTCCTTATGTAGCTTCAGTGCCCTTTACTGATCTGCACAACATGGAAAGAGAATCAGCCACTGCATTTTCTTTGCTTGAACAATAGACAATAAAAAAAACCCAGAAAAGCTCAATTCTCCAACTGGCTATTTTTTTTTTTTTTTTTTTTTATTTGGCTAGTCATCTTAAAGTTGTACAGGAATACTACAGACTTTTGATTTGTGACTAGTCTAACATAATGTCACCATTTCTTTAGGGCCTCCACAATGGCATAAGCCTATTTTTCTATCATTGAATATTGTCATTCTGACTGCAAAAATGTTCTGAAGAAGAATGCTATGGGACATCCAGATTGTCTCAGTGAAGCAGCAATAACACAGTTGGAGGAATATTGGGATTTACTGATATGATACCATAATTGATAATATCCTTTTTTAAACTCTTAAAGGCTTTGATGGTAGAAGAAGCTGGTAATTTGCATTAATGGGTCTATTTTCTCAGAGAATGATAAACAAAACATACAATAGCCAGTTGTAAGGCATAGATGTTATTAGGGATTCTGCTATTTATGGTTTGGTGCACTAGTCTTTTGATAATCACATATCCTAGGAGGTTAATGATGCTTAACCCATATTGTTTTGTGTAAGGTTGTATTTTTCAATAGTGGTCATGAACTGCTTGAGATTGCAATTGTGGTCAGTTTTGTCATCGCCACATACTATTACATTGTCTATGAAGGCAGTTTTTCATCAGTTATTATCTTATCAATGACCCTTTGGAAGTTGACCACACCATTTGTGACCCCAAACAGAATTTGTAGAAATTGGTACAACCATCCACATGCTTCAAAAGCTGTGTAAGGCTTGTCTTTCGGATCTATTTCTGTCACCAGATAGGCACATTTGAAATTAGAGGGTGTTAAAAGTTTTATATTTGGCAATCTCACCAATCACCTTGCCAATGTTCATCCAACAGTGTAAATCAGTTTATAGTTTGCAAGTAGTCCATAGCCATTTGCTTTTTGTTATCAAGACTTGTGCCCTCTACGGAGATTTACTTTCTTTGATTATTCCTTCTTTTAGCATCCTAGATAAATCCAATTGAATAAATCTCTTATCTTCAGAAGAATATCTACTAGTTTACAGTCTGTTGTTAAAGTATTGAAGAGGGAGGATTTTGTATGTCTATAGAGATCGGGCTGTGGTTATCTGTCAACGTTTGGGACTGCCAAAAGTAGTTTAACACTGGCTGGGGATGGCATGACCTAGTATATCATCACGGCATAGATCTCACATTACTCAGAGACAGATGTCTCAGAATATGAAGTTAGTCCAAAAACTGATTTACACGGAATGTAAGGGAGGTAAATCAGTATTTGATATCAAAAATCGTTTGATACGCTAACGATACCTAAATAGGATATGCATGTTTTACTTAAGTGAAGATATCTTAAAGAAAGATTAAAAATGAAAAACGTCAAAAAAGCACAACTACAATTTACAAAGCTTTGATAACTTTTTTTTACATTTAAAAAGTAAATAATTGTACATTTTTATCAATTCTTGAAAATAGAAATACCAAAATAAGAAAAAATGTTTTTAATTTGCACATAATTTTAAAAAAACTAAAAAAAATGTGTCCTTCATGCGTAAAATCACGATAAAGAATAAAAATGTAAATTCAAATTTAATTTGCAATTATTTAGACTAAATTTAAAACAATTAGAAAAAAAAACACGATGGTCAAACTTTCAACAGTGGATGAAAAATTTGTTTTTGTAAGGAAATGTTACTAATCAGCTACGGTCTTCTAGCAGTGAAAACAAAGTTTTGTGTAAAAACAAAAGTGATAGAATTTAGAAGTCTGTATGATAATTCATATTTTAAATTAATGTCAAATAAGGAAAAATACATTTGTTAGTTTAATGAATCTTTCTTTGCTGTGTATGCGTGTGTTCTACACAAAAAACAGAATCTTTATTTTTTAACAAGGGATGCCATCAATGTTCCAGGAAAAAAAAGGAATCTTTACATTTACTTACAAATATGCAATCAGGAAAAAAGTATCCCCTCCAAAAAAAAAAAGCAATAGTTTGGTTATGTAATGAAATCACAATAAAACAAGACTTTAGTTTAAAATTTGGCCTACTTGAAATGTTGATAAAGCGAAAGCGGAAAGCCGGTTTGAAACTAGACTACAATACCAAACATGAAGCAATGATAAAAAAAAAAAATAAAACATGACGTGAAAAGAATTAACGTGTAAAGATTATTTGTGGCTGATTTACTTTACCTGTGTAATTGAATCACCGAAGAGAATAGCATTTGGCCAACGCATAGAATTAACACGACCATCTAAATTGCCCGCCATGAATGATCGAAGTGACCCTTGTTTTTGTACAATTGTCGTTATGGAGCTTCTTGGTGCAGCAACACGTTGTTGTTGTATAGAAGTAGTAAAATATCTCAAAGTCTTAGACAGTAACAATGAAGAAGACAGAAACGATACAATGCTGTTCTTCGACGTCGCAGTCAATTCGAGCAACAGTGTTCTGCTGAGGTAGGAATGGATAAACATCTGAAAAGAAGAGATAGAAAAATGAAAGAGAAAAAAAGGAGGAGAGGAAAAAGCGTGAGTGAGAGGGTGAGGTGAGGGAAACTTAGATGGAGGTAGCAGAGGTGAGGGAAACTTAGATGGAGGTGCAGAGGTGAGGGAAACGGAGTGGGGAAGCTGAGGTGGGGGAAGCGGATAGGAAGGCTGCGGAGTGAGCTAGTAAAAGGACGGTAAAAAAATAACACAAGAAATATTATCAGTAAACTAAACAAGTTAAACGTAAAAACAGAAATGCAATAGATAGACTAGCCAGTAATAAAAAAAAAGTTGATAAAAGAGAATATGACCCTTTAGTAAAATTGAAAACAAGTTTTATAGTCCCAGCTTCGGGTTAACAAATTTAAAGTCGACGTCTTGAAAAAGAAATGAAAAGAAAAATCTTCTAAACTAAAACATTTTATTTTTAAATTTTAACTTTTATTAAATTAAAGATATTTTGAAGTTTCTGTTTTAGTTTATAGTTTTTTTTTTTTGCTTTTTGTTTTTGTTTTTTCTCCTAATAACGTAGTAATTTTTGACGAATTTCGATTTAGGCGTAAAATTTTACTTGTAAAATTATAATTACCTTTCTTTACCGTTTGGATTTATTTAACAATTAACATTTTTACAACTTTATCCCATTATTTACTTTAAAAAAGTTTTTAAAATCAACTTTCTTCTGCACGTCTCTCTTAGTCTTAATTGCTAGAAAAGAGAAATGTTGTTAAAGTGAAATAAAATAAAGGAGGGAAATACAATGAATAGAAATAATTTTATTGAGAAAAAGAAACATATTTAAAAAAAAAAAAAAAAAAAAAGACGGAAATAAAAAAAAAATCAGTTTCCTAACAATATGCATTTTAATTAACCTTTTTTTAAAATTTTAACATAAGTAAAAAGTCAACATTTGAAAGTATCTGTTTAGTGAAAAGGTAGATAATATAATAATTGTTCTAATGAATTATTGATGACCAAAGAGGAATAACATTCCTTTTGTAATTGCCAAATTTTCTAGAACTTAACAAAAAAAACTGCTGCATGTGGAACAGAATCCCTGAGAGGATTACTTCACTTCTTCAGATCTAGGGTAAACCACTATCTATCCTACATATCCTTATAATATGCATTTCTTTCTATCCAGCAACCAGCTGTATGCTTTGGATTGGTTGTAGATGTTAACTTCTAATAACATCTGTATATATCTGTATATTTGATTTGGTAGTATATCAACCTAGTGTAATGATTAAAAGAAAATCTACAAAGTGTTGAAAAAATACAAAATAAATGTTTATATAATGCAATATAATAGAAAAGGATAAGATGAATGTTGAAATTTCAAGCATTCAAGTGCTGGCACACACAAGAGAAAGTAAATATATGTATATGTGTGTATGTATGTATCCAAATGTAGTAGCCGCCTGCTACTTAATTAGTGGTGAAAGAAAGGTCATGTTTTTAATGTAGCAGGACATTTAGCTACTTCAAATTTCCGGTAGGTAACATTTTGGCTCTGGTTATGTTAAAATGATCACAGCATTGGAGAATGAATAAAATTTATTTATCAGTTCTGGTTTTGGTTGATTTTCCATGTGGCTATATATACATCTATAGATCCACTTTGAAAAGGCTTCTCATGACCTTATATCCTGGTTGTGAAAGCTTTCTGATTGGTTGTTTGAACTATGGTTTTGTGGCCTGATGATTTTTAGAGATGGTAAAATATTGGTCTCCTTGTTATTATTTATTTAGTCCTTTTCTTATATCCTGGTTTTGAAAGCTTTCTGATTGGTTGGTCAAAATATGGCTTTGTGGCCTGATGATTCTGATTATCCATCTATTTTTAGAGATGGTTACATGTAGGTCTTATTATTATTATTGCAAATATTTTCAATCATGTTAAAAGCAGTCTTTGAAAAGGATTGCCATATAATTGCATATAAACAGGTACACAAATTTAAACAGCTGTTTAAATTTGTGTACCTGTTTAGATGCAATTATAAATTTTTATAAAGTTTATATGCAAGCTAAATCTTTTTTAAAGATGGAAGTCTTCAGAGTTAACTATAAACAAAGTAGAATGAAGTGTATCATAATGTTTATTGAAGTTTTACTGAAAATATAACTTTCATTTGACTAATTCAAACATATTTATATTGTTGTACCGTTTATGCTAGGTAAAAAAAGTAATTTTGTCTGCTAGACTAAGTATTCCAAATCTAGCATTTCCTCATATGTATATCTTTTGAGATATGCACATAGACTATTTATTTTCAAGGTAAAAATTATATACATAGTATATTAATAGATTATTCATAGTATTTTAGTATATACTTGAGCTGACTACATATGATTAATTTGTGTTAGTTGTACAAAAAAACCTTTTTAAATCCCAGAGAACTGAAAACTATATGAATTTAGATGATATTTATCTTTGAAAATACTTATTTCATTCTAATCACAATTTTTTCCAGTAGATTTAGGTGCTTTAAGCTGTAAGTCTTCGTAATTTTGAATAAAATAATCATTTATGATCATGTTTATAATCTATTTGAATTTTTCAAGTTTTATTATAGGAGCATTATATATCATATGGTAACATAAAATATTAAGTAGGTCATTGTTTTACTTGGATTAAGCCAATTAGGCTCTATGGAATATTTCTGAATCACTCAGTAGAAAAGATCAAGCTCTATTTCAATGGCTTGCAAATTCTTGACAGGATATTTTGCCTTTCACCTTATAATTTTGTATGTTTCATATGAAATCATTAAAATATCAATTTCAATGAAGATTTGAAAAGGAAATGAGGAAATAATTGTGAACATTAGTTTGAAATCAGTTTTTTGAGGAAATTCTTGATATAATTTTAATTTCCATAATATAAAATATTGTTGCTTGTACTCATTATTGATAGTTTTAAATATATTTGTTAAAAGTAAATAAAATCGTGGACTTAGAGTAAAGGGGAGATGACCCTTACAAAAAATCCTGTTGATTAATTCCCTTCTGAAATTTTTTGTGACTCTTTATTCCTGAAAATACACTTACTCTATCCGCTCCCCTGTTTTATAATAAAATAAATTTACTGCCAGTTATTGTATCCTGGTATTCTGTTATCCATTTCTGCTATAGTTTCCACCAAAATGTTAACAGGTTAAGGGTACCAGAATAGCAGAAGGATATATTTTGATGGCGATGAAAGCAAATTTGAACTATGGGAAGTAAAATTTCTTGGACATATGAGACTGCAAAAACTGCCAAAAAAAAAAAAATGGTAACATGTTCACAGAGCTAATTCAATGCTGACAGAAGTTTATCTTTTATTATAATAGAAGCAAGAAATGATGACAGAAAAACTTTACAGATTTTAAGGGCATATTGAGGATAGGAAAACCACACATCCTTACCCATTATACAGAATTGACAGCATTAATCAAGACAACAAAATAAAGTCTAATGGACTATATCATGAAAGCAGAGATGATAGCAAATTCTGTCAGGTCTGCAGGAGAAAATATAAGTGACGATCTCCTTACAACTATAGTTTAAAAAAGTTAACACCATCTTTCAAAACATTTACAACTGTGGTGACACAAAAAGAAAAACAAATGACTTCCAGTGAATCAAAGTAGCATTAAGAAATTTTGAAGAAAAACGAAAAATGCCAACAAGCTACAACATGTAAAATACATGACAAAAACTGTATCATGAAAGTATGACTAGAGAAGAACTTGGCCATTGTATATTAAAGACATCTTAAAAAGAGAAAGCATAGTAAAAAGAATGACAATTACAAAGGCAATTTTGACTGTGAAATATATAATGGGCAAAATGTTACATTAGAGTTATATATCTTCAGATGAATGTGCAAAATGCCCACTGGAGTTAGTTCATTGCAATCTTGCAGGTGCTATAGACCCTGCTGCAAAAGACAGCTTTAAATATGTACTTCTTTTGTGGACAACTACTCCGGAATAAACCTGGGATATTTTTTTAAACAGAATAGTGGCACCATAGCAGCAACTAAGAGATTCCTTTCAGGCACCAAGTATTTCTGGTTGTTATATTAAGCACTTGATAGTGAGAGAAAGGAATAATGCAGATTAGATTTGAACAATATTTATTGTTAGCATGTTGTACAGAGATGTTGAAGTATGGGTGTAATGTCTGTTTCAGTAGCCAGTCATCAGGATGGCAGTCTGGTGTAAGGGTAGCACCAGGAGTCAACCTAATTTCTGTGTGGGTTTTGGTGTGAGGTCACAGGGTATGGTCGGTGCATGTTGATTGATTGGCACTATGTTGATGGTTTGAGTGGGTTGCATGCTTGTTTACAGAATTGGAGTAGCAGTTGCTTGTTTTGCAGTGTCGGAGTCAATTGATTGCAGAGACAGAGTTGATTGGTTTCAGGGTCAAGTTACTATTTGCAGTGGTAGCTTGATTGTAGAGTCAGAGTCACTGCCTGTGGAGTTGGATTTACTAAGGGTAACTGGAGAGTTGGCTGCTTGTGGCTGGTGTTTGCCGAGATCACAAGGTCAGGATGTTATCAATGTGAAGCTGGATAGTCAAGGTGGTTAGTCAAGCCAGGGAGTGATGATGGTTGTTGAGAGGTGCATTCATGTTGAGAGGCAGCGCTGATGGTCATGGCAGTGGTGGTGGCAGCAGCAGCAGTAGTGCCCTGCGTGATGGCCAGCGGCATGCCAGGCTGCAACTGACTGGTATTGTTCTCAGAGACCTGCTTTTAAGCAAATCTGGTAGCCCCCAGGGGGCATCTCTTTTTTTGGTGGGGACATTCGTAATTGGCTACTGCCAGGGCTCACTTCATAGACCAGAGGTGATGTGTGGAGCACAGAAAACAACTTTTGTTATTTTGTTCGCTGCCTTCGTCGTATTCACATCTGACTAGTGTGCAGAATGAATCAGAAAATCTAATTGCAACAGAGTATAACATGGTTGATGCTCATATTAAACACATCAGAATTGCACTGCAGAAAGACAATAGAGATCCCTGTTCAACATGACAAGGTGTCTACTGATACGAGCCAATATATCCAAAACATTGTTATATTATGCTGTTATGGCTTCCATTTATATCTGTAACTGATGCTATAATAACAGAGTTAATAATATTCCCTATGAGGCATTCATAGGACAGATACCAGACTTATGCAACATGCATATCTTTTGCTCAACATGTTACACATATGTGCAGAATAGAAAGAAACTGGACACACATAGTGAAAAGTGGATATTCATATACAACAAAGGAAGCACTGCTTATGTTTTTCCCTGAAATAAAAAATATAAAAAGAGTGCTACAAAAATTCAATATGACAGATTGTAAAATGAAGACAAAACCATGTGAAATTAGTGTCAACAAAATTCAAGACAAACATTCCATCAAACTGACAAGGTCAAAATTGTATAGGGAAATTGTTGGTAGTTTAGATGATATGTACAGACCTGTGCTATACTTACCAAATTATCATGTAGTGATAGCAACAAATAAATCACTAAATAACATTTAACCATTAGTATTAGACTATGCTGGAGTATTAAACCAAAATAATAAATAATGAATAATAATGAAAGAAAAAGTAAAAGTAATAAAATTACTTTAAAATATAGATAAGAATAATTTACAATAATGAAAGAAAAAGTAAGATTATAAAAACAATAGTGAAATAAATATGAAACTCCCATCATGCACTGGAACAGGTGTTTTTACCACCATTTGAAACAGAAATAAAAATTTCTCTATCTTGAACTTCAACAGCCAAATGAAGCAGATGTCTGTGGACAACTCTCTGACATGCCTAAATATACATTAGGGTATCTCAAAGGAATAATAAATGATAATTTAAGATTTCAAAAATTTAATTCTTCATTAAGGCTAATCGGATTTTGTGATACTGATTGGGGGTCATTGGAAGACAGGAAGAGTATATTTGAATACTGTTTTCAATTATCAGAGAATGAAGACTTGATTTCATAGAAAAATAGAAAACAACAGACTGTAGAACTATCAACATGTGAAGCTGAATACATGGCATTGGCAGAGGTCATATATGAAGCAATATCGATACGAATTACTAAGTAATTTGAATATGGATGAAAGTGAAAATTCTGTGATTATATATACGGATAACCAAAGTGTTATAGCACTGGCTAAAACACCAGAGGTCAAAACATAGAAATAAGGAATTATTTTATCAGAGAGCAAATGCAAAAAGGAATTATCAAATTATTGTACATTCCTTCACATGCAAACACATATTCACCAAACCGGTTTCTGAAAAAGAAATCGAGTGACTTTCTCAACTTAAACAAAGATGCAATTTGAGTTTATGGGGGAGTGTTAAACATAGAATTGTGGACTTACAGTAAAAGGGAGATAACCCTTACAGAAGCCCCTGTTGATTAGTTCCCTTATAATGATATTTTTTTTTTGTAACTCTATTCCAAAATATAAACTTACTCTAACCCCTCCCTTGTTTTTATAATATAATAAATAAAGTTTATTGCAAGCTACTGTATCCTGTCATTCTGTGATCTATTTCTGCTATAATTTCCACCCAGGTGTTAACAATATTACTACCTTTTTCCATAATAATTATTATATTTAATATATGAATTATAAATGCTAACATGAAAGCATCACAATGCATTTAATAAATACTAGCAAGCCAAGTGCTACTCTTTTACACCTGGAGTCTCATTGAAATTATAAATTACCTCTCTCCCAGGTAATTTATAAGAACTGATTTTCTTTTTCATTAAAAGAAATATCTAAAAACAAAAATAAATGATATTCCAAAGGCTGATGAAGGAAAGTTGCCAGCAATCTGTAACACATTTTGTCTAGTTACTAAAGAAACATGCATTTAAATGTTATTCTGGGGGATAATATAGACTTTCTCTTAGCAAATTCTGAACACTTGTTACCAAACACTATTTTATTTAGTCCCACTTGGAGCAGTAATTATTTGAAGTAATTATTTGTTTCTCTGGAAAATGCTTCCAATTTCACTATATACACAGCATCACATTTTTTTTGCTGAAGACCAGTTTTTGTTAAAGTTAGTGATAACTCATTTTAATTGCCTTGTGAACTTGTATCACATTGTTTTAAAGTACCTACTTTTCATCACCCAACACCATTTCAAAAACAGAACATTTTCCTTATTTAGTAAATCATACATAAAAATACAGCCTGGAAGATTATATTTGCTTATGTGGAAGTTACACATCAATGTGACTAATATAATGAAATGGATGTAAACAATTTTTCAGTGCTTTGGCTTTCCCACATATATTTTAAAATGTTGATTTGATTACTATTAACCTCAACTGGCCTCCCTATCTGGGGAGCTTCATTCAGCAAGAAATCTTTAGCACAAAATTTCACAAACTACTTGCAGCACATGTAAAGTACCTTCTCCTTAAGCTGTATAAGTTTTTTCCTTTTGTTTTTTTTTGCATATAATTCATATTCTTATCTTTCTTATAATAAAAAGGACATAAAAAAGTTGCCTATTTTTACCATATTCAAAAAACACCAATTTCAAAAATGTTTTTTAAGAAATATTTGCTGACATAACAGCTGTTACAGTCAAAAGTGTTTTTTTTTTAATGAAGTTAAAATTCAATATTCCTAATGCCACCTAACATAAACTTTTAACTGACACAATATATACGTTCTTAAAACTAAATTCACTCACACCATAGGAGTAGTGGTAGTGTAATTTTAGGTTTGTTTTGATGAAGATAAAAACAGGAAAAATAAATGTACATAATACAGAGGTGTGGCAAATTGTATGGTATTTTCATACAATTTTATTTATTGCATTGGTGTGTGTTTTTTTTTTATCTTCAATTGTGTTAACATACATGTTATAAAAGGGAGAAATTTTCTCCGTAATATTACAAGTCATATCACAGAGGGAAGTTACACGCATCTTCTTGACAGTTGTTGGGCAAAGAGATTGAATCCCACGTCTTTTGGTGGAATGTTTGTATTTCTGGCAGGAACAGTTTTTGGTGCATGTTGGGAGTAATTTTATTATTTTTATTTTATCTATTTATTTATTTTTTGAAAAAGCAAATATTTATATGAACAAAGTATCTATAAACAAAACAAAATGTTTTTTTTTTGCTATTCTCTGCCAGTCAAAA